GGGAGTTGACCAAAAACCCTGATTCCAAACCAACCACGAGGAGGTGTACGAGCCACACACACACATACACACACACACACACACACACAAACTCCCGGTTGTAGCAGTGGTCATCGGCTCGATTTGGTATCAAGGTATAGTGGGCACCTTGGACGTTTGACCCCGTCCAAAGGGTACATCATCCGGTGAACTGGACACCGGCCCCCAATGTAGTGCGATTTACACACACCACCCCGCTGCCTTGCGGGTCAGGTTTTGGTTAGCCGAAGGCTCCGGTTGAGGATTCCCCAAGAGAATTCACCTGCCTTGGCCTGGGCAATCTGGCAGTATTCAGCCCACATGCAAACCATAGAACGTTTTTCATTGTATAAGGATTATTGTACCATGATTTATTCGGCACATAGTCTGGCGTCAGACATGTGTGAAATATATAAATATATAATGTGTTGGTAACATGTTCCATTGCGTAAGCGAAGTGGCTGCGGAAGAATCAAGAGTCCCTTGTGTTAAGGTACCTACAACATCTCTAAGATAAGTAATGGTGTCATGTGATAGATGACGTTAGGCGTGTCTAGCTCTCACTATGGAGAAATGTTCTGAGTGAGAACAGGTATTGATTGGGCCCGAGTAAAGTAAGGGAGTGGTAGCTAGTGCGGATAAAAGCTTTTATCTGTAGACGAAAAAGTTCAAGGGGTTGAGACGGTTGGGACAAGACAGATTGTGTGTGTGTATGTGTGTGCGTGTGTGTTTGCAGAATGGAGTAAAATGCACGTTAATTGACAGCCGTATCAGACTGTCAGACTGCCTGATCTGGAGTATGCAGACGACATTGTACCGCTAAGTGAAGACCCAGGTAAGTTGCAAGCAATTCTGGACAGTTTGATTGCCAGCGCAGCCATGTTCGGTATGAGTTTTGCACCTTCAAAGTGTAAAACGTTACTACAAGATTGGGTTGGTCCAGCACCCAGTCTCACTCTAATTGTGGAAGTAGTAGAGGAAGTAGACAAATTTTGCTATCTGGGTAGCTATATTTCACCCGGTGGACGCATCACGGATGAAGTGTCGGCTAGCATACAAAAGGCTTGTTGGCATTTGCCAACTTGAGACATCTGTGGCGCCGTCGCGACATCCGGTTGTCTGTGAAGGGGCGATTGTACGCCACGGTAGTTCGGCCAGTTCTACTACGCTGCACAGAGACTTGGCCACTACGGGAACAGGATAAAAAAATAGATTGTCGGTGATAGAGTAACTAGACTAGCAATACTGGGGTTAGGTGCAGAGTTTTAGGTGTTCGCGGTCGCTCACTGGAGCAAGTGGTCGGCGTACATAGATTATGTTGGTTGATGAATGTGTTACGCATTTCACCAGATAGGTTGCCACGGCGCGCAATATCTACCGAGACCGGTGGCGGGTTGAAAAAAGTCAAGGGTGGTCAAGCTACGAGGGTATGAAAACCCTAATGAAAAGAGACTCGGTCACCCATAACTCGTTAGACTCCCTGGCTGAGGACCTCGGGATGATCGTAACCGGTGGTTAGAGACACTAAGTTATATGACTTAGTGTCGTAAACAGTGGCGTTTGTGTATCTTTTCAATTTCTTTACAACATCAATCCACTAAACTTCTCCATTTTCTATTCGACACCACTTTCAACATTCCTGTCTTTCTGCTACTTTTCATCCAAATTGGCGACCAAAAGAGAACAACCTAAACCGGTGCACGAAAGTGCATGATTAATGGTTGTTCAAACTGAAACATATTAATTATCAGAGTACGTTAAACTTTTATAGTTTCGGTTGACACTTGAAAGTCAAATGTCGCTCGAGGAAAAGCTGCACATAACTTTGGACCTGTCAGTTCATTAGTCCATTTGATCAAGGGGCAATTCATCTTTATGTCCTCACAGAACCCGTCAATATGTTCGACCTACATGTGTTCGTTGTCGATATTTTCATCCAGCCAAAATTCTTGGCGTAGCTTTGAAATATTTTGAGATTTCGAAAAGGACTAGGCGGTAAACATGATCTGAATTGGGCTTTAAATCAGAAAAAGGCAAACATGACGCGATGGGTTATCGGTTAACCGGACAGCTTGGTAGTTCTGCTTCGACGTGAACTGATCATCATTAGCCGTGTCTGTTCCAATCCCGCTGGAGGAGTTGGTAACTAACCTGTGTGCGAACGTCATTTGAATGCACGTGAAAAGTCTGCACATAAGATTGTTATCGACTCCACGCATCCGCTACATGCAGATTTAACTTCCTGTTGTTCCCATCCGTTAACTTTTGATCCCAATACCGTTGTGTTCCCTCTCGAATAAACATAATACGTAACTCTACAGTACCCTCATTAGCACGTATTCTATAGTTCTATAGTTAACAAAGAACAGACAAAGAACAAACTTTGTTAACAGTTTTGGGATTTATATCTCTTTTTTAACTATTATTTTTATTATTCTCTTTAGCTCCAGCTTGTATATTTTTAACTGAAATGTAGGCTTTGTGCCTACAGAAGTTAGTATAATACAATACAACACAATACAGTGCACTAGCTTGCTGTTCCTACGTTCAGTCTTCCTGTGGTGACTCACATTGTGTGGAGGCTTGTTTTAGCAATCGCCTCTTTTTTGTTATGCGTTAGGTTCGTTCATACTGCAGTTCTCAAGTCGTAATAACACAATCCTTGCATGATTGGTGTTGTCGTATACCTCGAGGTGAGGGGAAGGTGTTGATCGATTTTCAATACGATCTGAATCGTGTTTTCATGGTACAGGCAGACATGAAACAGGGGACCAAACAACAGACAACTGATTCACCGCATGTGGCTACCAATGTGACCTTAATGTGTCTTGGGGTCGCCGACCAGCACCCCTCACCCCCACCCACCTATCCAGCCGCACTGTATATATATAACGTGGTCTGAGATTAAGACCACAGCGATGACAAACCCATTAAACTGGGTGCACCGGTCGACTACCGATAGCCGTGTGTGTGTTGGCATGGTGATAGTGACTTGAGGTCTGGATCAGAAAGCCGTGCTTTGTATCCAGACTGCATGACCTTAATCTCTTAGTTAATCGTACTCATTTATGAGCCCTATGAACCTTTGTCCGTATTCTGATTTATTCACGAAAACTGGCTGATATGAACCAAAGCGGGGAAAACAGAAAGTTCAATGATGCATCAGTTCTGCGAACTGAATGAATACCTCACAGATAACCACACATCTTGTCTATCCGCGGATGGTCCGTTGAAGACCACGTTCAAAACCAATCGGCCGTGATGAGCCTTCGGGCCAACAACAACTGTTAAGCGAAAGAGAAAGTGTCATGGTTCCCCATGTGTATCATCAACTCTAACAGACAAGGATAAGGTTCTGTGAACTGTTCAAGCGAACTTTGATTTCACGTTGAACTCACAGTTACTTATGAGCAATAGTGAAAAACAGATGATANATAACGATCTGGACTAACCATGCTTCCAACTTTATCTCCGCTCAAAATCGTCATACACAGTACACAAAGAACAACACGGCTGACAGGATTCGAACGCCAGCAGACCCATGGACCCACATGTGCGTGAACTAACTACCACTGCACAAACTTAAGCCAGCAATTCTGTTCTACCCTTGTGTGACCGGAATGATACATACATGCCTTCCAGACCAAGGATTCGGAGTTCAAATACCGGAGGGGTTGGGGAATATGCATACATTACTGATGAGCTCTTATTAAAACGAAACTCTAGTACTGAATGACTGACTGGATGACCGAACTGAGGATCAAGTGTGAGGACTAACATGTAGTATGAACCTTGGGTACTTTTTGTGCTTGCATGTGAATATTTTACTTGGATCTCTTGAGAAATTTCCCCGTTTTTGAATAGCTGTAGTGACTTGCTCAATTTAGTAAACAGGAAAACAAAATAATAAGCGAAATTACAAAATTTTACGGTAGCAAGCTTGGATTAGCCCATTCGGTTGGTAAGAGGTACCAGGCACTGTTGATGATCTGACAGTCCTGACAGGGACATAAAAAGTACACACTGATGACGAGTCCTAAACAGTGGTCTTTATCGGTTTTCACAAACATTTCCATCACATGCAAATTAAAAAATATTTGAAATAATAAGTGTTTGTATAGAGGGGGAGGGTATTTCTGCACCCGCTGCCCTTGGTTTATGGTGCGGGGGTGGGGTGGGGTGGGGGGTTGGATAGTTTAACGGAATAACAATCTGGTTTGTCCCGTGGGCAACGAGGATGGGGCACAGAGTACCATGGAAAACGGACCTCTGATGTACGACAGAGAGAAGCGTACGTGACACCCAGGACCGATTATTTGTTCTCACAAACGGACACAGATCACTGTGGTCTGTCGAACTGCAAAACACTTCATTGTGCAAGTGAGACATTTTTCCTATACTGTTCCGTTCTGCACTGATTCACTGATTTACATATTGCCGGAATTCACCAAACACGGGGGTAATCAAAACTCAAAAGCGTACTCGCAAGCACAGATACACACACACACCAAACTGACCGAGCGTCGCATTGACACTATGATCCGTTGACGGGAATATGAATAAATTTAGTCGCTCACTTTATTCATGGTCATGCACGGATCGGATCACACCGATCTCATTCAGGCGAACGATTTCGCGCAATTAGACAATTTTCTTGGAATTTTCATGCAAATTTGCGGACAAATTCACCGGTCTGTGTGGTATGAGTTCGTGTGTGTTTTCCTGTAGCCCAGGGTCGGGGTCAGTGACCGTGTTGGTCACAGGTAACGCTTTCAACTGTCAACGCGAATTTTCGTTTGGTTCCAGTCCCGATTAGGATGTAAACGTAGGACGCATGGTTTTGACAAGGATAGAACAGATGTTCCGTTGTTTTCTAAAGACCTTGACACGCACACACGCACGATCACACACACACACACACACACACACACACAAAGAATAACCTTGTACAATCTCGCAGAGGATAGAGCGTCTCGTCTCCGTTACCCTTTTCTAATGACGAATGATACGGTGCAGTCAAAACTACTTGGTAGAGCACGGGCAGCCTAATCGTGTAGAGCTCTGTTCGGACGGTTGTTAGGAGCCGCGATACTCTGGGCTACATGGCTGATTTACAAAATCATAAACTTGTGATCTCATAAAGCCGAAACATTACTCTCTTAGTTCATGTGAATATTAGCGAATACCAAGGTCTGTTCGTGAATTTTTATCGAAACAGGTTTAGTTGGACTCAATTTAGGAACACGTAATTTTTTGCCAGGCAATAGAAGCCGATCCCGAAATCTGACACTTCACANTCCCGAAATCTGACACTTCACAACCGGGGCCAAGCGCATGAGTTCATCCTTGGGTTAGAAACCTGTATTTGCCCAGAGGGAATGCAGACAGACGAACCGTTAAGGCGGAATCAACCGAGGACTACAATTTTAATCTCCTCAACCGATTTTCTTCACACTCCACCCCTACTCAATCCAGTGCTTCATTAGGCAAAACTTTCGTTGCACCAAAGTTTGCCACACTGACCTTGACCTCTTCAATACGACGGAGTCCGGAATGGCGATCTAGGTCAACTGCCCGGTCCGGTTGAAATTACAGGGAGAGAAAGCTTAAACCATTAGTTTAATCACAAAGATCAGCAAACCCATTAAACATTGACTTAATAATTATTATGAAGCGAACAACAATGCCATTGTCACCATTGTCATACCACCACCACCACCACCACCACCACCACCACCACTTTCACCATTGATCGAAGTGACCGATACTCCAGTGGTTCGCCGCATTAATTACCCACTTCAGCCGAGAGGTCATCATAGACACAGAAAAAACTATGGGGAAATGTCCATCATATCTCTTCGTTCAACTGTCCGAGTGTCAGTCACAATTAAACACACCTTGACCTGGTTCACATTCGACGATAATCATGATAATTGTCGAAGTTGACCCAGTCACCCCCGCCACTCCCCTCATCACCGCTACCTCCCTATCTGTGCTCCCAAACGTCATATCCTTAATTGGTGTGAAACAACGTAAGCGAGGCACCGGAACAATGTGAAACTGAAATGCAACTACAATGCACACAA